AGCTCCTTTCCAACTTTTCTTAGATGCAGCTGGCAGTATTTTATTCCATAAAATCCATTAGCCCTGGTATGAAAAATGAAACATTGCAGTTTCACTGCAATATGCTTACAAAATAACTAGTTCTATTTCTAAACAATAAATTTTTTCATAACTAAACTGTTTCTGGAGAGGGGAAAATATATACCATAGTGTTGTCAGCCATTACAGGGAAAATGCTAGTTAAGCTAGATGAACGCATACTATAGTATGCAATCAATTTAGTTAGAATAACAGAGTTGGAAGGGATCTTGTAGGTCATCTAGTCCAACCCTCCCCTGCCCAAGCAGGAGCCCCTACACCATTTCTGACAGATGGCAGTCCAGTCTCTTCTTGAAAGCTTCCAGTGATGAAGCTCCCACAACATCTGAAGGCAAACTGTTCCATTGGTTGATTGTTCTCGCTGTCAGAAAAATTCTCCTTATTTCTAGGTTGAATCTCTTCTTGATCAGTTTCCATCCGTTATTCCTTGTCTGGCCTTCAGGTGCTTTGGAAAGTAGGTTAATCCCCTCCTCTCTGTGACAGCCCCTCAAATATTGGAACACTGCTATCATGTCTCCCCTGGTCCTTCTCTTCACTAGACTAGCCATGCCCAATTCCTGTAACCATTCTTCATATGTTTTAGCCTCCAGTCCCCTAATCATCTTTGTTGCCCTTCTCTGCACTTTTTCTAGAGTCTCAACATCTTTTTTATAGTGTGAAAACCAGAACGGATTGCAGTATTAAAGGTAAAGTCTTAGCTAAGGCTTTATAGAGTGGTATTAGTCTCTCATGTGATCTTATTAAATCTCTCTATTAATGCAACTTAGCATTGCATTGGCCTTTTTGGCTGCCGGCACACACTATTGGCTCATATTTAATTGATTGTCCACTAAGACTCCAAGATCAGCTCTCACAGTTACTGCTATTAAGCCTGGTTTCACCCAATCTATATGTGTACTTTTGATTTTTCTTGCCTAAGTGTAAGTTTCTGGCATGCCAAGGACGGGTGCCAGTCCACAGACCAGGTGGTTGGGAACCCCTGATATAGATGCTCAGAAAGTTAAGCAACTTCAGGGGTCATTAAGTGGACAAAGCAAAACAGCTGCCTGCCAAAAGGTGGTCAGGCAGCTGCCCTCCATACATGGAGGGAACATCTACCCTGGGCTAGAGAAATGAAACTCAGATCTTTAGGATGCAAGCTTCATTTCTCCAACCCAGTGCAGGAGTTCCCCTCCCCTCTGTTCATGGAACAGAACTCCTATGGTGGGCTGCAGAAATTCAGCTTGGATCCCAAAGATCTGAGCTTAATTTCTGCAACCTGACAAAGGATTTCTGCCCCCTCCCCATGAGTGGAGGGGAGGGGAAATCATCAGGCAGCAGCAGTTTGCAACCTGCCCTGACGGCTTCCCCATTGACTTTCTGAGGAAGCCAGCAGAGAAGATTGCAAATGGCAATCACATGAGCCAAACATCCAGCTTATGATCACGTGACTGCGGGGCATGGGTGAGAACAACATTTTACAAGAGCCAGAAGTGTATGACAGACCATAAAGCATCCTTTCTGAGCTGTCGTAACTTCAAACAGTCATTAAACACGCATTTATAAGTCGAGGACTACCTGTATACAGAATTAGGCTAACAGCTCTGTTTGGAATTTTCTGCTACCATGTCTTTATCTCTGCCTCCCAATTGGAGAAGAAAAGAAATAGTTTTTGCTAATAAATTTAGTATAAGGATGGAAAACC